ATGTCTCTGTGCATAACTTTCCTCATCTGGAAAATGGAGGCAATAGCACTCTCTACCTCTTAGGGCTGTTGAGATGATTAGTTAATAAATGTAAAGCACTTAGAATACTTCCTTGAACAGTAAGTACCATATTAGAATATCGTTTGTGCCTTTTGGGGTTCTTGTTTAAGAAATTCTTCTTTAACAGCAAAGTCAAAACAGTTTTCTGTATTTTTTCCTAAAAGTTTAGTTTTACTTTCTGTATTTAGTGTTTAAGTCTATGGTGTGAGGTAGGGACTACTACTATTCTTTTTCAGAATGAGAAGGTTATGGTCACAGGGCTGTTAATTAAAGCCTACTCTTTCTCTACAGATTTAGAATTTCATCTCTTTCCAAGCTTGCACTTTTGGCTTATTTAGATCTGTGTCAGTTATTTTGTTTTAATTACTGAACCATTACAATAAGTTCTGATATTCGTTTGGATGATTTTTAACGTTTTTAGTCCTTTTACTTTTTTATATATTTAATTTTACTAATGTTAAAAACAGAGCACATTCAAAAGATGTAGAATCAGACTCAGATTTTGCAGAGCGTGGCGAAAGCATAACAAAGACAGTTTAAGACAGATGCAACCACTGACAAAGGTTGATTTGTCACTAGGAGCGTTTCTTGTCCACGGTGGCAGCGAAAGTGCAGCAGACACAGGCCTTTGATCTTGAGAATGCCTGGAGCTCTTTAGTGACATTTATTCCTCCACGTGAATTAATGGATCATTGTTTAAAGTTCCACCCAAAACCTTATTGAGACTTTGACTAGAAATTTAATTTGTGGGCTAATTTTGAGGTTAATTGATGCTTTATTATAATGAGTATTCCCACCTGTGAACATGTATATCATTTCATTTAATTTAGGTCTTTATTTTGTGTTCTTCATTTCACAGTTTTCTCCCTAAAGATTTTGTAATACCATTGTTAGATTTATTTATACATACCTTATATTTTGGGAGCCTACTACAAACTGCATTCTAAAAAAGGAATTAAAGTTCTTTTTTGTTTTGTTTTGCTCTGTTTAGCCTTTTTTCAAGTCTGCATTTTAAAATACTTTTTTTTTTTTTAGTGACTTGAAACAGATTAATTTTAGTCTCATTCAGTCAATTTTATTACCTCAAGTTCTTGGGAGTGCTAATTTTCTTTTGCTGTATCTTTTTTTGCATCTTTTGTGGTCAGTTTTTTTTTCTTATGTGTTTTGTGATTTTTGATTAACAACAGAGTTTTTATTTTTTCTTTGGAAATGGTGTGAAGACTGGGATCTGGAAATATTCCTCTTGAGTCATTCTGGATTTGCTTCTATGAATCTAATGCCATCACTACCTGTGATCAGCTTTTATCCAAATTGCTTGACTTGAAGATTGCTGCATTCCTGGGTAGTGTACAGTTTTAAACTCCAGACAGAGTCACATTAGGCTTGGTGTTTCTTTTTCTTGCACAATGTTTTTTGTAGAGACTCAAAACATCTTTGCTGTCTTTCTGGGTGTGGTGGTGTATTTTTTCTGTAACCCCTTACACTGAAAATACAGCTTGCTGGAAGTCTTAGCTATGCAAGGCTCAGTTCCACTTCCCAATTCTGCCTGGCTTAAAACTGAAGTTCTTCCCCTCGAAGGGATTTTTCTGAAGGGATTTTTCTGATCCGGGAACTCTATCCCACCCTCTTGGCCCCCCATAGCACCATGTATGCTTTTCATTCTGACTTTAAGTTCTCCCTTCCTTCCTGGCATGTGGGAGTTTTGCGTAGTTTCTCTTTGCTCAGCTATTTATTTAAATAAAGTATTACAGCCTTTTTCATTATTTTAAAGTGTTTGTAGCAGGAAGGATTCTGTGGTAACTCAGTTGCCCATGTTCCCAGAATCCTCTGTGGTTGGCTGAATAAGACCTCTGCCCCACAAAAGTGCATATCCAATCCTTGGTTACCTAGGAATACGTTATCTCACATAGCAAAAGAGACTTGAAGATGTGATTAAATTATGCATATTGAGATGTGCCAATTATTCTGAATCACCTGGGGGAGACCTATATTATCACAAAACTCCTGGTAAAGAGGATGCAGGAGAGTTCACTCAGAGAAAGAGATCTGCTTTGGGAAGTAGGTTGTAGTCTGAGAGATTTGAAGATGCTACAGCACTGGCTTTGAAGATGGAAGAGACGTCTTCGGGCCTGCAAGTAACTCTCTCCCAGAGCTTCCAGAAGGAGTGCAACTTCCTGACACCATGAGTTCAGCCTAATGAGACCCATGATGGACTTCTAAGCTCCAGAATTACAAGAGAATAAATCTTTGTGTTTTAAGCCACTAAGCTTGTGGCAACTTCTTAAAGAAGCAATAGGAAACTGATACTGTCTTCAGTGTTTTTGGAGAAGAGGTACCTGGTATTAGTGATGGGGATAGACTGAAAACTGTATTAGAGACTCAGCAGAGTGAACTTGGTGAGCAATACTCTTGACAGAGTTATGTAAAAGGGTGTTGCTTCTTTCTTCCCCACCTAGGGGGAAAAAAAATCAGAGCAGAGATACTTGTGAATGTTTTAGATAATATTTTTAATAATAGCATAATCCCTAGTCTGAGACCTGAAACTTCCTTATAGAAGTAATAAAGTGCCCTCTTTTAGTTGTAGATATTATTTTTCAAAGGGTAAGAGATTCTCATTATTAACGAACCTGTAAGTTGGTAGCTGAGAGAGCAGAGAACAGTTTCTCATTTCGCCGAAATGCTGCTGTTGTGCATAATGGGTGTGGTTTGCTGGGAGGGCGCTGACAGGATAGCTGAATAATTCACTGTAACTATATGGTAGGGATTTGATTGGTGGTAAAATATCAGACAGCTTTCTAAAACAGTTAGTGGTTCCTGACTTGTCCAACGGCCACCTGCCCTACAAATTTCAGACTTGCTGTCCCCCACAATTGCATGAGCCAATTTTTTAAAATAAATCTCTCTTTCTTTAAGTATGTATTCTGTTGGTTCTGTTTCTCTGGAGAACCCTGGCAAACAGCAAATCACTGTGATGTGTAGGAAGCATAGACTGTCTTCAGTGTTTGGTACCACGATGAGGTGAGGATGCTAAGCTAAGCATAGCCCTCTCGCCTGACCAAGGTGAGGCCTGTTCCTCCATCATCTCGCGCTTCTTTTTTTTACACGTCCTCAGGCTTCTGACTTGTACACCTCATTTGTGTACAATTTGGCTACCACAAAGTTGGAAATAAACTCACTTGTCATGGGGCAGAGGACTTACTCTCATTCCGAGGTTGTTTGAAGTTGCGAGAAGATTGTGAGTGAGATAAAAATGAGGCAGAAGCCAATGGACCTGGTGATAAGAAGCAGTTAAGAAAATGAGAAGGACTGTGCATATTTCTCGGCAGCAAAATTTGTGAGAATTTTTTCCCTTTCTCCCTCAGAAAATAAAACTTTCTGTGTATTAATTTGAATGGAGAATACCAAATCCATATCTTGGTTCTATCATGCTGCAGACAGTTTCATGCTCAGTTTGACTCATATCCCTATGTGTTGTATGGAGTTTTAAATACTAAGACATTTAAAATTCGTGTCTAATAAACTATGATTACATGTATAAAAAACTGCACATTTGAGTATCAAAATATCCATTTGAGCGAGTGGCGATTTTATATTTTGAAATAGTTTTTGTTAAGCCTTGAAATGGTGCTACAAAGTACATTTTATATATTTCAATTCCTCCCAGCTGGATATTATACGGTCACCTTGCTCCAGGAAATGGTTAACCCTCCATTGAGTTGATAATCCTGTCTCTTTCCTGTTCCCCCACCCCCATTCCTCTTACATTACCGGTTTTAGCTCTATCTTCTACCAGTTAACTGTAATCTTTCTATGGCATGCTATTTACTTGTGCTATTTCAAAGAGTTTTACTGGTAATGATTGATTTTTGAGGCATGTGTTCTACTTCTTTATTTGGTTGGTTTTATAAGTATATAAATAAAATTATTGGAATATAAAATAATTTCTTCTTGCTCAGTACGCCATTTTACTCTAGCTAAAATCTCTTATACTCTTTTCATCCTAAAAGTTTTAATGGTCTCTCTCTGTAATTGACCCTCGAACAACGTGGGGATTAGAGGCGATGACCCCACCCCGTGCAGTCAAAAATCTGCGTATACCTTTTGACACCCAAAACCTAACTACTAATATCCTACTGTTAGTCAGAAGCTTTACCAAAGACAGTCAATTAACACATATTTTATATACATATTTTATACTGTATTCTTACAATAAAGTAAGCTAGAGAAAAGAAAATGTTATTAAGAAAATAATAAGGAAGAGAAACTACATTTACAATACTGTAAGTAATTGGAAAAAATCCACGTGTAAGTGGACCCACACTGTTCAAACCCGTGATTTTTAAGAGTCAACTGTATATGAATTTTACTAGAATAGATAATGACACCTAAAGCAATTTATTTCAGCAACAACCCTGTGAGAAATGTTTTTCTGTTCCCAATGACCAGATTCTGTGATAGGTTCTGGGGAAATAGGTGAAATGATGGAGTCCTTGCTCTCCAGTTGCACAGAGAAGGGAAAGATTAATTTAGTTTGTTGGTGACTAGGAAAGCATCACTGAGGTTACAGTCTAGCTGGAGTTTGAAGGAAAGTGATTTTCACGTGAAGAGATCAATATCTTGGACTGAGATCTGTTCGCATCTTGAAGGTTTATATATGCTATTATTTCAGAAGCTTACGTAGAAATCATTTAGGCTTGGTAAACTAGATGACCTCTCAGGCTCCATAATAATTTTATAGATTATTATCAGTTTTTTTTTAAGCATGAATGAGGATTAATATAATTTGTTAAATAATATTGCCTGCTGGGATCTTGTGTGTATTCTAGTACTGAGTATTAGCAATCATCGTAAGATACTGAGTGCCTGAAAAATATGTTGACATTATTATGCCAAATTGACCTTCTCCCTCCTCTCTCTTCTCTTTTTGGTTGTTTTTGCAGTTGGTTAGTCTGTTGCTAATTGGAATTGCTGCGTGGGGCATTGGCTTCGGGCTGATTTCCAGTCTCCGAGTGGTCGGCGTGGTCATTGCAGTGGGCATCTTCTTGTTCCTGATTGCGTTAGTGGGGCTGATCGGAGCTATAAAACATCATCAAGTGTTGCTTTTCTTTGTATCCTTTTTTTTAAAAAAGGGATTTTTACTCTAGTTGGGTTTGTTCTTTCTTATGTTGATTAATCTCTAATAACTACAACTAATTTTAAATTATCATTACGAAATTGTCCAACAGAAACTCCTAGCAAGCCCTTTGTGTATTTGTTCAACGAACATTAGGAACGTTTCTTAAGGTGAAGTTATTTTGTGTTTATGTATTCTCACCTTCTGCTTTTCACATCATGAAGAATGTATTTTGCAAGTTTAGTATAGTCCTGTTAATGTATTGCAAATTCAGTTACGTTGACTGATTCAGTGACCTCTTGGCCCTTTCTAACCTGTTGATATTTGGTTGACAGTTTCACAGTGATCTTAATGTTTATCTGTACTTAGTTCCTATTTTATATAAGTAAGAATTTTTATTTTAACTTAAATGAAATTCTAATTACTTTTTAGTTAAATAATGATCATTATTGTCAGTATTTTCTTACATGAACTTATAGCTACAGTGTATTATTGAAATAAAAATATTATGTGTATTCTTTTTGAACTTTCTCTAAGTGCCATTTGTTCCGTTTTCTGGGTTAATTCTTTCTAGTGCATTTTAAAGTTGTCAGTACCTCTGTTTTATGTTATTTTAAGAGTATCAAGAAATAACCTTAACTTTAATTCTCAGTACATGATCATTCTCTTACTCGTATTTATTGTTCAGTTATCGGTATCATGTGCTTGTTTAGCCCTGAACCGGGAGCAACAGGTAAGCAAAGACTTCTTCCTTGTACTTCATTATGCCACATAGTATGTGTAGGAAAAAAGGGGGAGAAATGATTGGACTATAAATAATTTCTTCTTGCATAGAATGCCATTTCAGACTACCTAGCTAAAATCTTTTGTTTCTGATCGCGTTAGTGGGGCTGACTGAAGCCCTAAAACTGTTGCTATGTTTTTATATCTCTTGAGTAGGATTTTGCCTGCACCGGGTAAAAAGTGCTACTGCTAACAGATGTTCACCCAATCTTTTCTCACTGTTATGCAATGAAACATTTGCTCCAGAATGTTTGCGGTTCCATTCTAGCAATTACTCTTCAAACTCTAATTATAGAACAATATGGGTCTCACACTTGGGGCAATGGAAAAATTTTCTTGTTACACTCTGAAGATGATGCCTTTCAACCAAGTGCTTCCTTTAAATTGCATTTAAAATTTAAGATTTTTCATTGTTGGATAGAAATAGTTCCTTAATTTTTGTTGCAATTGAGGTATAACCCATTGAAAAGTTTTAATGGTCTTGTAAAGAGTATTTGTTTTAGATACACTCAGTATTAAAAGTTGCAGGCCATAGATCTGTACGTTTTGTGTGGGATGACACATTTTAATGTACATATTAAATGCATTTTCTAGGGTCAGCTACTGGAAGTTGGTTGGAACAATACAGCAAGTGCTCGTAATGACATCCAGAGAAACTTAAACTGCTGTGGGTTCCGAAGTTTTAACCCGAATGATACCTGTCTGGCTGTAAGTACAAAGTATAAAATATTTTTTTGGAGATGTATTATGTACAAATTAATATTGACGAACATGGAAGAAATGGACTTTCTGATGCTGAACTGTATTTTTAAAATGCTTTACATATGCCCAAATTATATTCCATGTACAGCAGCACTGTGTCATTTGTCCTCAAATATCCACTTCCGAGAGTACCGAACATTCCAGGATCCTGCCAGACACAGATACTTCTGGTTCTTTGTCCTTAATTCCTCCCTATTCAACTCCTCCTAGAACAAGTTGTGAAAGAGAAATTCTAGCAGAACATCCTTAGAAATTCAGAAGAGATGTCTAAATACCTGTTTTGAGACATATCAGGGTGGTAGGAGGAGAGCGGTCTATACGAAATTGGGCTTCTTAACTAGCTAAACCTAAACATCCCCAGGGTGGAGGACACGTGGAACTAACATCTTTCCTCTCTCCCTTCTTCCCCATCATAACTTCTTGCTCTTTCTTCTGGGAGCTGAGTGATGGACCAGTTAAAACCATCCTTCTGCCTCAGGCCGGACTCCTGACCTCCAGATTCCAACCCAATCCTATATGAGGATGGACTTGGAGCTTGGCTCTCCTAAGTTCATGTGTGTTACTATTCTGGGGAAACTCCTATTACCCCCTCTCTGAGCCATGGGCTGGATATCCCCTCAATGAAGCCTTTTTTGTGGGATTATTTTCTATGTAATAGATTATTAGTTTTGCTGTGTAATACATTATCACAAATTTAGTAGCTTGCAGCAACACCCATTTATTCTCTCGGTTTCCATGGGTCAGGAGTCTGGGTATGGCTTAGCTGGATCCTTTGCTCAGTATCTCACCAGGATGAAATTAAGGTGTTGGCTAGTGCTATAGTCTCCCTGGCAACTTTGGTTCCTCTACCTAGCTCAGTGGTTGTTGGCAGACTTCAGCTTCTGGTGGTTGTAGGACAGAAGTCTTGTTTTCTTGCTCTGTGTCTCTCAGCCCGTAGAGGCTATTCTCAGGTTCGAACTATGCAGCTACCTCACAGTGAGGCAGCATCAAAATCAGCATGATAATCTCTCCTTTCTGTTAAGATAGTGTCTTATGCAAGGCAGCATAAACGTGGGAGTGACTCTCCATAGTATTTAGAAATCCCATCTGCCCTCAAAGGGGTGATTATTCAGGGCATAGACACTGGGGTGGAAATCCCAAGAGCCGTCTTAGAATTTTGGACACTACTAAAGAACCAAGGCCCCCAGTTGGGTACAGTACTCCAGATACTAATTTTTATATGAGTGCAGTTTTTATCTGCTCTTTATAAATGTGCTTTGAAATAAAATTTCTTTTCTCTAATTGATACAGAGCTGTATGAAAAGCGGCCACCCATGCTCACCGTGTGCTCCAATAATAGGAAAATATGCTGGGGAGGTTTTGAGATTTGTCGGCGGCATTGGCCTCTTCTTCAGTTTTACAGAGGTAGGTGCAAGTAGCTCAGTATCTTCCCTCCTTCATCATAGGGTTCCTGTTTTATATGGCAGGAGGGCATAGCTTTTTACCTTTGTTTGCCACTCGACTTTCAGAATGTACTGATGGATATTTTCATTGAGAACTGGTATTGTAACAGGAGGATCCCTGGCTTGAAGTCAGAAGACTTCACAGATCTAGCATTAATTAACTTTATACAGGGTGAAATGCTTGGTCATTATATGATGTAAAATGTAACGAACAAATGACATGAGGAGGTTGGACTGGATATCTCTAGGGTCTCTGAATCTGTTTCTTGAGTTGTGTGATAAATTACAATTTTAAATTTGATTTTGGGATAGGTAGGACATTCACATTGTTTAATATAGATGTTAGTATATAATAACATATATATAAAGGTACACTTTAAAAAATTGCTTCCCAACCCCTCCCTTATTCTTCTTTGTTCCTAGCCTTCTGTAGGTACCACTATTATTAATTTTTATATACTGTATTCATATATTTATTCTGTTAGTACATTTATATATAATATGTGTCTGGAAGCAAAACCACACGCATATTGTTTGATAATTTTCAAGGAATGCTAATTCCTTCCTCAGTGTCTTTCTTAAACTCTCAATAACCACGGATATTTTTTGATGCATTTGAGTTGGCAGTATGTATCAACATTAAAATTTTTTTCTTCAACTTATAAATTATACTCTAAGTGCTTTATTTGATGGTGATACTTGTATAACTATGTAAAATGAATATATAATAATGTTTATGGTTTATAACGGCAAACCTTTGGGCCAGCTTGTGCTATTTAACAATGAGCTGGCTAAATTTGGGTGTATTAGACTGGAGCAAGTAGTTAAGGAATACATTGTCTGTCTTGGAAACCTAGTTCCATTGCTTAATTGTGTGAACTTGGGCAAGTTATTTAACCTTTCTCTGTTTCTGTTTCCACATTGTAAAAACAGACGTAATAATGGAAAGCCCCTATTTCATAGAGTTGTTATTAAAGGAGTCAGTATATGTAAAACTCGTAATACTTAGAATATTACCTGGTACATGGCGGGTGCTGTGTAAGCTGTAATTTTGTAGCCATTAGTAAATTATCGATGTGTAAATCACCATATCATGCCTCATTAAAAAAAGATGATGAGACCCTGCTGATTGTCATGGTAGTTGCTCAGGTCACACTTCTATTTTAAACAATAATAGAATAGCATGCACTAAATAATGCTATTAAAAGAAATCAGAAAAATCCTAAGTGTTTTGTATGGTTGAAGTTTAATGTGTTCATTTAATCTCTCGGACATTTAATTTTCTTTTCAGTATGGCACTATAATAAATAATTCCATGGTCAACTTCCTTGTATATAGTTTTAAAATCTGTATTCTCTAGTTTTTTCCCTTAGATTATATCTCTGGAAGTAAAATATGACGCACTCAGTATATGGACATTTTAAAAAAGTTTGATAAATATTGTTAACTTTCCTTTTGGGGATATTCTGCCAAATTTTTATGCAACCACTAATTCTAGATATTTTTATTTAAAACTTTTTTTGCCAGTGTGCTAGGTGAAAATAGTATTATAATCCTATTTGCGCTTTTGAAAATGTGACTGATGAACTCGACAGTATTTTTATATGTGTTTTGACCATTTTCATTTCTTCTTTCGTAAGTTGTGCACTTTTGTCTTGATTAAGGCCCTTTGGATTGTATGTAACAGACTCAAAACAGCATATGAACAACAGGGGAATTTCGTGTAAGAATACCAGAGTGAGACTCAGGGCCTGGAAGGTGTGTGGGAAGTTAGCGCAATGCCGGGGTTCATGAGACGGGGGTCTTGGGACCCCAGGCCCATGAGAATGTTGAGGACCCCCCACCCCGCGTTATTTCCTCCTTTCTCTTCCTGTCTCCCTCATCCTTTCGTTCCTCATTTTACCTGGCTTCTTTGTTCTGCTTTCAATTTCTCTGGCATTTAACTTTTTAATGACTTTTAAATAAAATTTTAGAAGGTTTTAGTTTTCATGTAGTTAAATGTATTTTTTTTTTTCCTCTATGGTTTATCGAGTTGATTTTTATGCTTAGAAAGGCCTCTCCCATTTCGATTATATATGTTCAAAAATGATTAAAGAAGACAGTTTAGGTGATACAAACTTTAACATATCATGAAGTGGACACTCTCAGAGAACTGCAAAATGAGGCAGAAGGTAAGAAGTTTTTATAGAATAAGGAATAAAAAATAAAGAAGAGAAAAATAGAAAATATCTTATTGGCGGGGGCCACATAGTCAGCCTTGTTTGCAGTGAGAAGGCCAACAGTTGGATTAGTGTTTGAGGACTCACTCACTGACTTTACTGTGTTTCTGGTCAAGTGGAACATTTATAGGGACATGAAAGTTTTGGTTTGCTGACATGGCACCCTGGACAGAAGCAGCTCCATCTTAGGCCTAGAAATTTATTTCAACATCCATCCATCTATCGATCAGTCGTTTGACAGATCGATAATGTTTTTTTGTTTGTTTGATCGAGGTATAATTGACAAAATTGTAAGATATTTGCACATCATGATGATTTGATTTATATAGACATTGTGAAAGTTAATTACCACCTCATGTATTTACCATTATTATTATTATTTTGGTGAAAACATTTAAGTTTTACTCAGTAAATTTTAGTTATACAGTAGTGTTATTAACTACAGTCGCCATGTTTATACATTAGATCCTCATTTTGATTGTGTGTGTAACATATATAATGTATGTATTTGTGTAAATAATGTATACCTAATGTATATAAGGTATGATTAATATATAGCACATGATATATACATACCTGTGTGTATGTTATATATCTTATTCTAATTGTTATTTTTTTTCCCTTCAGGAATGAAAAATTCACAATTGGCTCTTATTAACAAAGTGGAGATAAAGACCAAGCTTAATATTCACTTTTTAGAAGAAGTTTTCCGTGACATCTCTTCCTACTCTGAGCATTTTTTCATTTTACTCTTTCTCAGGAAAGAGCTGTCTTGTGGGTTGGTTTTGGCATTGACTCAAGAAAATTTATATATAGTTTGAAAACAATTCTATACATTCTTCCTTTCTTTCTTTTAGAAAAAACAAACATGAATTTTTGTCATGAGAACGTAAAAATATATATAGTGGAAAACTAGAATGAGCAATCTCCATACATGTCATTAGCCAAATTCAACAGCTATCAGAATTTTGCCACATGGTTTCTTTTTTGGCATGTTTCTTCTGCCTGTCTATATCTGGAAATCATTTTGAGAATTTTTTTCTTTTGAGCAACTCCATTTCTTCTTACCAGATCACACTGCCTTCAGTTATGGCTGTATGTATGTATGTATGTATGTATGTATGTATGTATGTATGTGTATAATGACTTTTTTTTAACAGCAGTTATAGGTTCATAGCAAAACTGAGAGAAGGGTACAGAGGTTTCCTATAAGCCCTTGCCCTACATATGCATAACCTCTTCCATTATCACCATTACTCACCAGAGAGGTACATTTGTTACAGTTGATGAACCTACAATGACATGTCATAATCTCTCAAAGTCCATAGTTTACATCAGGGTTCACTCTTGATACACATCCTGTGGGTTTGCACAAATGTATAATGACACAAATTCATCATTATACTATCATACAGAGTATATTCATTGCCCTAAAAATCCTCTGAACTCTGCCTATCCCTCTGTTCCCCTAGTGTTTGTTTGTTTGTTTGTTTTTTTGTAAATTCCAATTCTTTAAGAATATAAACTCGTGAGTCTTAGATTTCTAAACTGTTCTTTCAAGGAATCCTTTTCTATATTTTATATACCATGTCGCTTCGAAACTTAGCTAGAGGTTTTAATAATTATCTAACCTGATATTTTCTTGACAATTACTATTTTATAAGCTCTCTCACTTAAAAATTTTTTATTCAGTATTTCACAGAATCACAGATTTTCAGTTTGAAGGGATGAGATTAACTAGCTGATGATTTCCTATCATCATAGGTGAAACAAAAAGATTTGATTTGAACTATTAATACCTAAAAATAAATTTAAGCCATCAAAGTAACATCGATTTAGAATCTGAAAAAAGTTGTGACAACTAGTACATATTCTTTGTAGAAACTTTAGAAAATACAGAAAATTATGAAGATGAAAGATTAAATGTATCTACTGACTAAGATGACCTCAGAAATAGTCAGCATTTATATTTTGGCATGTTTCTTCTGCCTTTCTATTATTTAATAGAATGAGTACAGACTTATTACATACTTTACATATACAGTTCTGTATTATCAACTGTACTTTGGTGACCTACCACATACAGGGCATAGGTTCTAGAATGAGCAGGATTCATGATCAGGGCTAATCAGAATTACTCTTGAAAAATTTTAAATCTTGAGAGCCTTTATAAGCTTAAAATCCAATAATTATCTGACTTTGATCTTTTTGCGTTTTGGGCGTGGCCTCCCTTCCATGCTTCCTGGGAGCGAGGGAGGAGATAGGGGTTCAGTAGTCGGGCAAAGGAAGGAATTTGTCTTGTTTTGTCACTTACAGCTGAATTGGAGGAATGAAATTCTGGTTAAATGTGGCTCTGGATTATAAGTATTTAATTTATCAACATGCTTTGTTTCCCCTAGGGACCTAACTTACACTATTGGCATATATCTGCGGGTGATAACCGAGATATTTAACAACCTCAGAAATTCTAACCAGAAGCTCCCTGATGCTAGCATTTCCAAGGCAGGGTCAGGGAAATGATGCTTGGGAAGGTTGGGGGTGTCACAGAAATAGCTCTTTGACAACAGGGGGGGTGTGTGTGTAAGAATTTCAGTACTGTAATAACCAGCATAGCTGAAATGCTAGGTGAAGTGTTACCCCAAGAATGGCCAGTAACACATCGGATTCTGTCATAAAACCACAAACGTAATTAAGAGCACGGACTCTAGGTTTAAGCCCAGTTCTACCACTCATGACCTGTGTGACTATTACCCAGTTATATAACCTCTCTGTGCCTCAGTTCCCTTAGTTCCCAGTTCCCTTACTGGCAAAAAGAGGAGAATGTAGGGTTGTTGGGAGGATTGTATGAATTGTTAAAGTGCATAGGACAGAGTCTGTCACAAAATACTCTTTCTGTGTTTAAGTAAATTCCTTTTTTCCCCTGTTACATAGACTCCAAACCAGAATTTCCACATTCTTAAATTAGGTTTATTTTAACTTGATTCAATTCACAAACCATAGTTCCATAAGCCTCATGTGTTTTAGCTATAAACATTGCCAGCCATACAGTAACTCAGTGATTATTGTTGTGGTAAATGGAGAAAATTTGGGACTTACCATAATTCTCTAGAAGTTTAAGGGGCTAATGAGTAGTTATGAAGTCAAATAAACAGAATTTAGATTTAATGTTGGCACAGATCTAAAGTGGGAAATATAATTTGGAATTCTTTTTGTTCCATTAAAGTTTTGTATCTTTTTAAAAGAATTGTTGATTATTTTAAATAAATCAGCTTTGAGGTAACAGGAATATAATGAACACATTTTTTAATTTAAAAAGAAAGTTATTTTGTTTAACTCTTTAGTGAACCTGGTGTGGGACATGGTACAATAACAACTTGTTTTTTGAAATTATAGCTCCGTACCCAGCCACCGCCCTTGGAGAGGAGTTACAACATATTTATGATTTATGTTGGAAAATTTACTTAATTGTTGCTGAGCCCAATTTGTTTCTGAATTATCAAAATATGCAATACTTTAGCTATTCTGACAATTCGGTGTTCATGTTAATTTCCTATTGCTGCTCTAACATAAATGTAGTAGCACCCTCAAATTTATTCTTACACTTCTGGAGTTCAGAAGCTCAAAAAGGAGTCTTCTGTAGGCTCTAGGGGAGACCCTGTTCATTCCCTCGCCTTTTCCAGCTTCTAGAGGCTGCCTGCACTCCTCAGCTTGTGGCCCCGTTCTTCGTCTTCAATGCCAGCATCTTCTCTCCCTGACTCTGCTTCCTGCTGCTTCTGTCGTCACATCACCGTTTCTCTGTATCTCTGATTTTGTCCTCCTGCCTCCCTCTTATAAGGACCCTCGTGATTACATCACTGAGCCTACCCAGATAATCTCCCTATCTCGAGATCTTTAACTCAATCACATCTAAAGTTCCTCTTACCTTGTAAGATGACATATCTGCAGGTTCTGGGGATGATGATCTGGACATCCTTGGAGGTCCATTATTCAGCCTACCACAATATTCATATTAGATTTTCTTAGGGCCTATCGTTATGTTACTAACTACATTTAAAAAAAAGTCTTTCTCTTAGAATAAATAAAGCAAAGTGCTTCAGAGGTTCCAGATTATTTTTTTGATAAACTGAATAAATATACACACCTGTCACTTCTTCTTTTTTTCCTTTCATTCCAGATCCTAGGTGTTTGGCTGACCTACAGATACAGGAACCAGAAAGATCCTCGTGCTAATCCCAGTGCATTCCTTTGAGAAGATAAGGAGAATTTTTCGTATTCTGATCTTGTTCACAGCTAACTTTAAGTTAACGCTAATTTGCCTGTTTAAGGAAACAGTATCTGAAAAATTATATTATTGACAGTGGAATTATATATTTTTACTCTTATGTTTCTCTAAATGTTTTTCTTTTTCCATTGCTGAAAAAAAATGGAAACTTGTGCTCTCCTCTGAACCTCAGTGGTACCTTTAATCTACTGTATTCTCAGTGTCTGGCACTGTCCACTGTGGCCTTTCTTAGCATTTTTACCTGCACAAAAACTTTGTATGGCACTATTGTGTTGATTATATTGTGAATCTAAATACACATCTCACTGGAATAATTAATTGTATGTAGCATTGTGCTGTGTAGATAGTTCCTACTGGAAAAAAGTTCAAGTTTATGAAAGCCGGTCAATAAAAGATTCTATTATGTTAAGTTCAGAATGGGAAATCCAAATTCTCACATTTTTTTGTCTTTTTTAGGAAGTATGTATTGTGGTGAAAATTGTTAACATAAAAGTGATAATTTAGTTCTAGTAGTCTTTTATGATTATACTAATATATTCTAGAAATAGCTATGCCTTTAGGAAAGTGTGGTTTAGTTTTCGATTTTTACAGGTAAGTGCAAAGGAAATGGTCTCATGAATGTGCTAATGTGTGGCATTTGCCTTCAGCCTTCAAAATGGAATCACTTTGAGAAATTCAGAAAGTATGTATAATCTTGATATTCTTTTATAATAATTTGAAGTCCAAAAGACTGTATTTTTAAACAAGTTACTATTAATGCATTGGCCCACGTAGCAAAAAGATATTTGATTATCTTACAAATTGTTAAATACTTTTTGATGAAATTTCTCAGTATTGTAATAGCAACTTGTCAAATCTAAGTATATTTGAATGTGACCTCCCATAATTTGAAATTAAAATAGTATTGTGGTTCTGTAAATTATGTTAAAAAATTAAAGGATGAAACCCTTTCTTCGTGTATAAGTGTTTGAATTAAAAGAAAGTAATGGAAGAATTAATACATGAATTAAGTGAAGTAGAATTCTTTTTTTTATGCTTCGGATTCTCTTTAACCTAAAGCTCAGTGTTGCTATTTTAGTGTATAATCCAGCCATAGAAATGAATTATCAACACTAATGTCTACTGGTAGTCATCCAAAATCCTTTCTTAAAATGTTTCAGTGTTTAATATGTTTTCCATAGTGAGAATTGTTTTTTAAAAGATAAGTCATTTATATTTATTTGGGAAAAATAAATAAGTTCTTCCTGTTATCGAAAATTACCAATTTCTCACATTTTATGTAGTATATGGTATTTTATTTGCAATTGTCTTGATGGGTTTTAGACCAAGAAAGATGGTAAATGGTTGATCTGTAGAACTTTAGAGGGTGTGTGTGTGTGTGTGTGTGTGTGTGTGTGTGAGAGCGCGCGCGCGCATGTGTGTGTGAACACACCTGGCTCTGCTTGGCCTAGGGGAGGGACCTCAGGAGAGAGAGAGAGACAGACAGACAGACAGACAGACAGTCAGACAGAGACAGACTTCCATGACTGGAAGACTGGCCAGTCTTTCAAGAAAACTGAATCATGCAATTCCCGTAATGTCGTAGGGTAGGAAAATCATTTTCCCTCTAGTCTTCTGAGTTCTTGGCTGAGACCCCGGGTAATAAAAGACAGATTCATAAGAGAAAAACAAGTTTATTCACTTGTATACCTCATGTATACATAGGAGATCCCGGAAAGATTGAGTAACTTTCCAAGATGGCCCAAGCCATCTTAAGTACCATCTTTAGCTGAAGACAAAAGAGAGGTGTGTGTGTGTGCGCGCGCACACCAGTTTTGGGGGTCACCAGGAATGGAAGTGAATGAAAGGGTTTGTTAGACAGAATTGTCAGTGACTTCTCCAGTTGATAAGAATCTTTTGTGCTTTAGTGTCATCTTCTGATGCAGAGGAGAGATACCCTGCAAATGGGGATTTCCTTTATTACTGTTAATTTCCCTTATAACAGGGTAAACTTCTCTGTTTTCAGAGCTCCTCCTGTGTCTGCTGTTTTTCAAAAATAATCAGCTCAAAAGGATATGCCCAAGAGGAATATTCTTGGGGGCTGGGGTGCTGTATATTTTGCTATCCTTAAGTGTCATATTGTAAGTGACGCATGAAGGAAGTGAGACTTTTGAACTCTGTCTTCCCTTTAAGGCATTTTATTTGGTTTCTTCCCTGTTTCCTTTGTGACATTTTGAACTTTGCATGAGTTTCTGGAATCTTCTAATATAATATTTTCCTTGGTACAAAGGATTATATGTGGAAACGGCTATTTCAGAGATAACCAACCCGTAGCCTTGGTTTGTGCTCTAATTGCAGTGGCCTTAATTTGGGTCCACCTAATTACAAATCAGGGCCTGGGAAGCACACATGCACCTTTAGGGCCGTAAATTATAGAATTATAAGAGTGGGTAATTGCTGGTGGTTAGCCACTCGAGAAATAATATACTCTTAAGTACCAAGAGCAGCCTTGGCAGATTAATCTAAGCTTGCTGTTCCCTCAGGCAGATCTAAAGGTCGTAGATTATCCAGTCTGTTCTGGGAGGTCTCTCTGATCTTTGTGTCTGGGTGCAGAGAGGTACAGCTCCCATTCTACAGAATGAAAAGCCTCTGAAATGGGTCTATCCTGAATCCTAAATGGCTGCTGGTGAGCCTGGGGAAGTCAGGCCGATCACAGAATTCCAGGAGCACCACTGCCTGTGGGCGCAGAAGTGCTACCACAAACAAAGCCTCACAGGAGGGTGAGTTTCAGATCGAGTCTGTCCTTGAATTACAACAAATGGCTGTAAGGCAAACTCAAAACCCTGGAGCTTCCCTGCCCTCCTCCCCCGCAAACCTAGCACTTATTTAAAAAAGGAACTTTGTAACTTATATATTTCTCTTATTCCCTATTTACATGTGCCACTTAGAGGAAGATTTCTTAGAACATTTGCCCAGTCAGTCTTGATGGTAAAGGTAAAATTTTAGAGAATAAGATGCTAATCCAAAGGAAAACTGTTAGACTATAATTTCTAAAGTCTGAGCACATGTGGCATAAATTCATCCCAGATACTCTGTTTTCTAAGCAGCCATGAGTTTGATATGAAAACCAGTTCTGTGTGTTCAACCTAAGTAATATGCAGCTGAACAGAGCCTTTCAGAGAGGGAAAAGCAACCAGAGTGTGGCTTTTAGTTCTTAGTGTCCTTAAGCCAAAACCTCCTCCTATAATTTTCTTAAATATTTTTTTAACCCTGTTAAAATTTATTCATTCTTTTGAAAATACGCTGAGTAAATATCTGAAACTACTTTTTAGCTGGTATGAAAAGTTAGAATCACATTTTTACACAGTATATTTCACAGGCAAAAAACACTTTCAGGCGTGGTGCTTATACAAATATGATCATTCATTCACATGTCGATTGTTTTATTAGTGATGACGTTAAAGTTACCGACCAAGTTTTCTTCCGGGTTTCTGGATGAGTGAGGGTTTGTGTAAAGTTGTTCTGCACTTGGTTATGTTTGGGGCTGGCAGTTTTTACCCCTGGCTCTCTATGCCAAGTGCAATTACAAAATGCGTTGTTAGTGAATGTTTTCTGAACCATTCTAAGGAAACAACCAACAATGCCCTCCACCCCACCCCAGGGAGGGAGAGAGAGAGAAAAGAAAATAGAGCTCTTGATATTGGAGTTTTTCTGGAATGTCAGATCACAACCTGGCAATTGTAGTCATTGAAAGACCTCTCGAGACAGTAGAAAAGGAGATAGTCAGACGCTTTTGCCGTGCGCCAGGCTGCTTCTCATCTACTCTCAAGAAAATCAGCTTTGGAATTTTGTTTTCAAATAAAGGCTTAAGGGAGTTAGTTGCCTGTTAGTTAAAATATATGTCAAAGAATGGACTTTGATATCATTTGGAAGGCAAAACCACTTTTGCTTACTTTCAGATTCTGTTTTACAGGTAGATAAGGTCATAACTTGACAAGGGGCTTTTTAGTAAGTTAAGTTGACTTTACTTGAACTTTGAAGTCTGCCTCATTTGTAAGGCACTGGAGAAAATTCTGTTCTTGCCTTAGAGCTTTTTCTGTTCTTTGCCTAGCTCCTATTCTTGCCAGTGATTGCTGAAGGTAGCTACTTAGGATTACTGAATGTGTAAAGCACATGAGAAACCAAAGCAGAGCTAGATGGTCATAATCATTTGAAGAAGACTGTGGCTCTAAAACAGGTAAAGATGGTTTAATCAAACATATTGATCTTTCATGTAAAAGATGATCTATGTTACCAACTTTTTAAAAAGTTGGTTCCTCTGCCCCCCTCCGCCCACAAAGCTGTGGGGCCTCAGGTAAAACTGATAAAATTTTTACTGTGGGAAAACATATGTACCAGAAAACTTAACACCGTACCATTTTTAAGTGTATAATTCATTGTCATTAAGTACATTCACATTGTTCCACAGTCATCGTCGTCATCTACTTCCACAACTTTTTCATCTTCCCAAATTGAAAATCTATGACTGGTACATAGTAACTCCCCACTCCCCTCCCCCTTCGGATCCTGGCAATCTCCAGTTTATATTCTGTCTATGAATTGGACTACTCTAGGGACCCCATATAAGTGGAATCACACAGTAGTTCCTTTGAAATTGGTTTATTTTATTTACCATGATGTCTTCAAGGTTCACGCATGTAGCATATGACAGAATTTCCTTCCCTTTAAAGACTAGAGAATATTCCATGGTGTATATATAACACATTTTGTTTATCCATTCAGTCATCAGTGAATATTTGGGTTGCTTCTACCTCCTGGCTGTTGTAAATAATGCTATGAACAAGAGCGTACAAATATCTTTTCCCTATTTACAGTTATTTTGTGCACATACTCAGAAATGGAATTACTGAATTGTGAAAACTCTTTTCCTCCCAATAACCCTCAGAGAACTTTCTAAATGGAATATTTTATCTTAAGTACATGTACGCTACCAATGTATAAGAAGGGAATCTAGTCCCTCTGGTGATATTTTTGCTGAGGATTTTTATGTCATTAAATCAACGATATAGCCTCACAATCAATTAGGGAATAGCTCTGTCAAAGTACTGTGAGATAGAAAAGTATTTAAAATATATTATCTGCTCTGGAGAAGTTAATAATGCCAAAGGATCTATTCAGAAAAGGAGCTAGCTAAAAAAGTTATTCAAGACAAAATAATAATAATAATAATAATAATATGCAAAGCATTGTACAGACCACCATAGCCATTCAGGGGCTAAATAAGTCAGTGGGGGTTGGGTGATAAAAGAATTCCGTACACTGATGAATGTGAAATTATTCAACATGTCATAAAGAAGTTAATACAGAGTTTTGATTTTTGTCAGGCGATAAAGAGTTAAAGTAGGTAAAGCTACTCCCCTATCTGATGCCTTGCCCTCTCAGCTTTTCCAAAGATAAGTAGTGACCTCTGATCTCTGCCCCATAGACAGGATATCACTGCCCTTCGCTCTTCTCTTAGTCACATTTTGGTGAAGAAGATGGGAACAATTCAACTGAATTTATTTCAGGCCAGGACTCTGAAAGCTTGACAGAGACCATGTGTATTGTAAGGCCAATTTTCAGGATTTCTTTAGCTTGTATGTATTCTTGGGTTCACATGTTCTTGAAATGACCATTAGTCTGAAGGAGAAAGCTACCTGCCAGAGGCTTTCTCTGAGAAGATTCAGCTGAGCAAAATCTAACTAAAATTGAATTGCTAAATTAAAATGTGGACATAGCATAGGCATTTTAGGCCAGGAGTCGTCTTAAATTCAGGTGACTGTTTTTCTTGGGATGCCTTTCTACATAGTCCTCCACACTAAAGCATACTATTTGACACTGCTGTTGATTAAGCTAATGTCTACCTCTGGTCACCCAGTGAGAAGCTACAGCGAGGTGAGATGATAACTTTGACTGTCTTTGGTCTTCAGTGCTTGAACTAGTTTTGTCTTGTCCCCTCTTTGAACATTTTTTGTTCAAACGTCCTTTTGGTGAATGAACCAAATAGATTTTCTGTGAAAGACCAAGTTTGGGGAAAAAAAGACAACAAGTTTGAACACCCCCAAAAGGATTTATTTTTTTTTTTAAAGTATGACTCACTAAGGTAGTATACAACATTGTTTTCCCACATGTATACTTGCCACCACATTAAAAAAAAACAAAAAACAAAAGCCAGCTGTTATAACCACATGATTAGATTAAACCATAATCTAATCAGCATGACCAGCAGTGCTTCTGCCTTCTCCAGGGTCTGCTGATATCTCCTCTGGTTCCAAGTTGCAAGGCCTAGTGCAGAGGCAAAAGCTTGCAAATTTTGTCTTTTCTCTACAATTCAGTCTTCAGCAACATGAGAGCTTTCTTCATGTTGTCAATTACTAGTGGAAGAGAAAGGAAAGTCAAGATGTGACCAGAAATTGTACTAATAGGTAAAATAAACCCCAAATTCGGGTACTCGATCGATAAAACTCGATCGTTTTATCCTATGGTGAATAGTTGGTAATCTAATTGTAAACTTTTTTCTAAAATTATGGGTAATGGCTTTATATCACAATCCAGTTATTTTCAATAGTAAATGCCTTTTCTACGAGGCACTATGATATTACCTATGCAGGAGACCTGCCTTTAAGGAGTCCAAAGTCTTATTAAGATAATGTGCTGTTATTTTGAGAATGATCAGTACTTGGGCTGTGCTTTCACTGGTCCTCCCAGTCATTGCTAATGGACTGTGATAATCTTTTTGCTGCCAAGACATAGCCTCAGAATCTTTTCCCAAATAATGTTTTAAGTCAGTGCCCCTGATGAGAATTTCTGTAATAATGAAAAATATTCAGTGCCTTTGCATCAAGTACTTGAAATATAGTTAATGTGATTTCGGAAATGAATTTTAAATTATAAGTAATTTTAATATTAAACAGCTACAGGTGGCTACTGGATAACATATTGGGCAGTGTAGTTCTGGGCCACTAGTCATTGAGCAGAATTGGTTCTTAGGACAAAACCCAGTTTTTTTCCCAGAAGGACTAATAAGGTGTCACAAGTAGAGTTTCCCATCGAGGTATTTCATCTACCTTGAGTCCCTCTTGCTCTTCCCCCCCCGCCCCCCATTTTACGGCAACCCCAAGGGCCATATCTTGGCAACTCTTTGGAGCCATCTTTACTACTGATCTTTAAGACTGAACTCAATTTTAACTTCAACAAGGGAGACTAAATTATTTCAGTTTCATTATTTGGGTGGGTGGGTAGGGAACAAAGCATGTGGATTACTACAACTATTGTACTAAATTCTGTGGTAGAAAGAGTTGTACGCTAGTGTGACTAAGAGAAGATCTGAAAAGCGGGTAATATGGCCATAGAATACGCCTAGAGAAAAAGATACCCAATCAAAAAAATTTATCTTCGATTGAGATTTAAAGAAAAACGAGATCAAGCTGAGAGTGATTTGCCTGAGGAGGAGACTAGTTAGGGTCAAGCTGATTCTCTGGTTTCCCTGAGCAGGGCTTTCCTTTCCTTCCTCATGGTCATGTGGCCTCCGCTGCCAGCACAGCGCCATAGAGATGTTCATCAGCGCAATAGAGATGTTCAATGGCCTTAGCACTTACATAGAGCTGCGTCAGAAGGTTCGTAAGCGTAGAGACGATTTGAGTATCTTCCAGTGATGTCGGCTCTAACTGTCAGGGATGGGTCTGTAAGGAAAAGACAGAAGGCATGGAGTGCTACGTTTCCAAGTAATGTCTATTGCTTGACATAGCTCACGTATTTGTCCTTGTCCAATGAAAGGAACACAGCATGTGTCCCGTAGGATGGCATCTACTCCAACCATTCTGCAACCCAGCCTCCAGCAGTCAGGACCCTAAAGCCCTGCTGGGAGCCATCAACAGCCCCACGGAGAAGATTATGAATCCTGCTGTCTTATCTGTAGCAACCTGAAGATGGGTTATTATCTTTGGGGTTGTGTTTTGGTTTTATTGAAAACATTGGCATTCTATATTAAATTATTTTAAACTTTTGAAATGATTATGTTGTAATTGTATCACCAAGAGCAACCTAGATAATTAGAAACCAACATCCAATGCTTAGTGTTCACAACGAAGGTTCGTTTGTTTGTTTTAATGAAGAAAAGAAAGTAAGCCCTTAAGAGCAGCAAAGGTCAAATAAGCATGAAACATCCCTATTTCTTACTTTATTGTTAATTAGTTGCATTTTGAAAATAGAGATTTAGGAGTCTTCCCTTATGTATTGTTTAAACCTGTTTTTTTTTTCTTTCATGTTTTATATTTAACTGGAAGTTATCAATCAGACAGAAAGGTATTTTTGATATATGGTACATCTAAAAGGGAGGTAGTGCTAGGGTATACAGCAGTCTAGAAACCTTAGATGATTGAAGAAGAAAAAGGTGCACGTCGTGAAATCTAAGTAAAGAGGACATGTGAGAAGCACCTGTTTGTTTGCAGAGTCTGTCACAGGTATTTGAGTGGACAGGCTCTGCCATTTCAGAATATTGGACTGGGATCAACATAAATGACAAGAAACAGACACTCTTTTGTTTCAACAGAGACTGACGACCTGCTACTGCGTACAGAGGATACAAGCAGCTGGTCTGATCTTGGTATTAAGTTAACATAAAAGGCTTTTAACACCCAGCCACTGGCTCACAATCTGGGCTGCACAATGGAATCACCTGGAGAACTTTGAAAAATACTGACGCTGTGTCCCACCCCTAGAGATTCCGATTTAATTGGTTTGAGGCATGGCCTGGGCAGCTTGAGTTTTAAAATCTTCCAGATGATTCTAATGTGCAGACAGTGTGGAGAACTCCTGAGCTGGAGTTGTTTCTTATGACTGCAGGAACCAAATGCGGGTTAAAATTCCCTTAGATGGGAAAACTGTGAACAGAATTCCTGTACAAGGTAAGACTGGATGTCCTATTAAGTCTCTCCCAATTTCAGGGGTTCTAAATTTTCTAAGTCCTAACAACAAAAAAAATCTATAAGGCTCCAGTTCAGCCTCTCTTCTTTCTTTACTTTTTATTCCTCATTTGTACATTTAACATAAACTTGGAGGAATTACAAAGGCGAACCACTTGGTTAGAGTAAGCTCTTTTATGGGATGGGCTTAATTATAGATTTTAAGTCAGTAAGATTTTGATCAAAGCTAAACTCAATTAATTTGTTGTCATTTAAGAAATATTTATTGTTAGCCTACCACTGGGCGATGCTGAAAATGTGATGGTGAGCAGAAACAGGGTCAGTCCCTGCCACATGTTTATAGTCCCATGGGGGAAATATTTATTAAACAATCACCCAGTAAATGTTAAATTATGACCGAGGAAAGTAGGACCATTGAAAGAAACATTGTGACACAAAAGCCCATTGTGCGGATTTGATCAGGTCAGTGAAAAGCAGTGATGACTGGGGACTTAACTAGGTGACTTGAAGTTGCAGAGGGAGAGTGGGAAAGGCTTTTCAGCAGAGGGAACAGCATAGGACAAGTTCCAGTGGCAGGAAGAAACATGCCTACTTGATTTTTTTTTCAACTCATATTCCTAACTTTCCTAAAGTTATCATCAACATTGTCAGAAAGAAGAGTCCAACACACAAACTGAAAGTTTGCCTGATTAAAAATAAGTATTGACAGACCTGAAGTATTTGGGAAAATGACTAATGTATTTAAACCGTTAACAGGGTGTGTCCTGCTCAGATGTGTTTCTGGCAGAAGATGAAAAGTTAAAATTAGCATGTGAGAAAAAGTGCTGTGAAAATAGCTAGAAGATCACATTTTCTAATGAAAATACTTTGTGAAACTTAAAAGAACATCATACCCCTCATTAGAGCTTTGTGGTGGCATTGGCCATGGTGGAGTGGCAGATAAGGGTGGTGAAGACCGAGGAAGAGAAATGGGCGTGCTTGTGTAATTTTCAGAGTGCATTTCATCTCATTGTTACTTTTACTTACCAACAAACATAATTCTGGGGACGTATTGGCCATCAGGAGAAAGGTGTTTGTCAGTTGTTTCATACTAAGATTTAAAATAAAAACAGTTTTTAGTTTGTTTACTCATTATTTTCAAACTTGCTAATACAAAAATGTGTCCATTACTGTACTAGGCATCTTAAGATCACGTAAGGCACATCTCTTCCACAAGAGTTTATAATATAGATGGACAGACAAGTTACATGCATAAAATAATAAGTTAGTGCAGAATGTGATGCAGAACAGGAGGTAAAGCACTGAATGTATAGGATAAACAACAAAAAAGTTTAAGAAGGAAGAATTCGGAAGGAATTATAGCATTCAGGGAAGACGTCCTCTATGAAGTAAGAGGAAATAGATTAATTAAAAAAAGCAGAAGTAATTTTTGGAGAAATTGACAGAAACACAGGATTATCTTGAGCATCCATCTATCCAGTTATCAAATTTTTATTTAAAAGTTTATTTAGCAATATACAGCACTTACCACTCAAAGATGCGTAACCTATTGGGAGATGCAGGTAGGAAAATGAATATTGGGAACCAGTGGATGCAATGTTATAATAGAGGATATGCCTATGCCATGGGTGCCCAGAGTAGGACATATAAATCAGTGTGCAAGTTCTTTCTATTAGGACTTTATGAAGTGAATAAGGAGGAATCTTAAAAAATGAATAGAAGTCAGTTACGTGGAAAAAGATCATTGTAGGCAAAGGGGAGAGATTGTGCATGGTAGAAATGGATAGCGTTTTTCTGATAATTTTTTCTAATAATTTAGTTTTTGGAAAAGACTAAAACATAGGGGATGTATGAGGTGGTGGTGAGAGAAGATGCTGGAGAGGGGCTTCAGGGGCCAGCTCATGAATGACCTTGTCCACTGTACCTCAGTGTTTGCATTTGTTCATAAATAGATAAGACCCAGTGGAGGGATGTTAGAAGAGGTACTGTGGTTTTTGGAGTGATTAACTTGATGCCCACATAGGATTAGATGGAATTTATCTTGTAGGCAGGGAGCCATTTCGTAATATTGCAATAAGCTAGGCAAAGTGAACAATTCTTACACTAAAATTGTGGTTCCCAGTTTACAAAGAAGTGACCAAGCAACAAAAATATTTGAAAGTTAGAACTGCAGGACTTTGTGACTGCTGGCTTTGTGACTGCTGGGGGAGAGTAGGAGAGTTCAATCTAGAATAACATGTTCTGTAAAAAAAAACTTTATGAAAAGCCTGGATAAAGCTGATAAAGTCAACATCAAACATGTTGAGTGTAAGCTAATTATGGGATGTCTGGAACATGGTTGTATGCACAAGTTGAAACTCGTTGCATGCTTAGGTAAGAGGTGGGAATTATCAGTGTGTGGCCATTGATTAAAGGCGATGTAGATGATGTTGCCCATAGAGACTATGGAATATGAAAACAAGGAGTATGTCAAATAACGATTCACCAAGGCACTATTATTAGGGAGTGGAAGGAGGAAGAGGATCCTGTGGAAGGGAGGTAGGGAAGAATTACTGGTGTAGATGCTCTTTTGAAGAAGCCAACTTGTCAGCCTGTGAAGAGTATGAGAGAGGGGGCTGGGGGCTGGGGGCTGGAGGCGGGGAACTGACTCAGGGTTATGGTAGACTAAGGCAAAAAGCTTGAACATCAGGAGAGGTGGTGATGATGAAGTTAGTGGGAATGCATGAGGATAAACATGTTTAGATTTTGATTGTCAGAGAGGTCTGTTTCAGGGAGAGAGGAGACAAAGGCTAAGAATATGTATAAAACAGCCAGGACTGCAGGAAGGGGCACAGGAAGTAATTTGCAAAATACAAATACCTTCAATTATTACAGCAACAGAGAATATCCTACCCACAGGAGAGTACTTTTCTGACAACCTAAAATTATTAATTACTAAATAAAAACATTAACATGAAATATAGATTACTAATAAAGTATTATTTTCTCTCTAGTCTTCGAGATGAGATATTTGGAACAAATCCCAGTTCATGCAGTATGATTAAAATGTATAGGAAAAATGAATCATTCTTTTCAAATCATGAGCACTGGAGATGTCAGTGATGGTGAAAAGTACACTTACAACTAGATTGATGAGGACAAACTGCTCTGCCAATTTCTGGATTTCTTTATTTTCAGCAAACATTTTCTTTAAAGCTGTAATACAAAGAGAAATCATTAAGCATCCATCTCATCACCAGTGAAAACCATTATTCTCTGTTATATTTTAAGTTGAACTGTATTTTTAACACAATATTCAATTTTACTCTTTCAGACAATGATTAGTGAAGTAATATCTAGGCCATTGACTACCTTTGCTTCTTACCATTCACCCATTCATGCATTTATCTATTTATTGATTGATTTTTTTCAGCCCAGATTTATTGAGTGGCTACTCTGCGGTAAGCACTGTTTTATGCACTGGGGATAGAGAAGTGGAAAAAAAAAAAAAAAAGGGCTTTTTTTCATAGAACTCAAATGCCTGTATAGGAGATAGACCATAAACAAGTAAACATATATGTATCTAATAATTTCAGGTGGAGATATGTACTTTGGAGAAAAACAAAGCAAAGCAAGAGGTTTAAGAGCTATAGAGTAATCAGGGTAGACCTCTCTGAGGAGGCTGACATTGAAATGAGAGAGTTATCTATTCTAAGATTTGGGGGGTATGTCATACTAGGCAAAAGGGATAATAAGAACAATAGTCCTGAGGTGGAAATGAACTCAGATGTTTGAAGAACAAGCACAAAATCCAGGCTAGCTGGAGTGGAGATAAAAAAAAAAAAAGAGAAGAGTGGTAAGAAAAGATGGAGCCAGTACCCAGATCATGTCCAGCCTTATAGGCCGCGGTCAAGCATTTGGATTTAATTTGACCCGTGACGAGAAGTCACTAGTGATAGGATCTGATTTATGTGTAACAGCCTCATTCTGCCTTCTGTTTTGAGAGCTGACTATATGGTGACCAGTTAGCTATTATGTTCTAGATAAGATGCAACCTTGGTTTGGACCAGGAGAGTAGCAATAAGACAATTGGGAAGTGGTTAAATTTGAGCAGGACCTGTATACTATACAGAGCTCAGTGCAAAATAAAAACTATGAAACCCATTGTTCAAAAATTATTAAGAATTTGAAGACAGAGACAACAAAACTTTAAACCAAGCATGGAAACCTGAGAGCTGGGCCCTGTGCAACTGTACAGGTTGCATGCTCATGAAGCTGGTGCTGACTTTAGGCTATGTTTTAGAGGTAAAGCCAATGGTAATTGCTGATGTATTGGATGTGGAGTATAAGAGGAAGCAAGAAGTCAAGGACGAATCATAGAGCTTGTTTTTTTTCAAGATATGCACCAATGATTAACATAAAATGTGGAAATATTTGAAGTTACTTTAAAATATCTTCTTACTACATGAAATACTATTTTTTATTCAACCATGCTAGGTGCTAAGGATAGAAAGATGAGTGATCTAAACCTTGGTCCTAAAGCAAAAGCCTATAAAGGAAATCATATTTAGAAGAATAAATTACCTTGACTGTGTGGACATTCATCCAAGTGATGAATAATCATCAAGGGTTTGTTGCTTTAAGAGAAAAAGAGATTGGGTAATTTTTAATGAGCAGGATTTCATGTATAACTAAATAACACTAGATGGTGCTCTTGAGAGCTTTGAGAGAACTCTGCGTAACCCTTAATATTTTTACCTGGTCTTGGATTTATATAAGGCTTCTTCATACGTCTGAGTCCAGATGAGTTGATCACCCCAACCTAAAACAAAACGAACCAGTGCATTTAAAGCTATTATAATTTCAGATCCAAAGCTGTTGAAAAGCTTTGATGGTAAAGACTGGAAATATATACTTGATACTAAAGAAGAAAAACCTCTAGAGAAAGTAGAAATAATTATAAAATTTTGATAAATCTAGAGGGAACCTACAGAAATACGTTCAGCACACGAGTCTCAGCTTCTCAATTTAATGGCATTGGAAGCTGATGAGAGGCTGACTCCTACCTCTGGAGAGGGTCTGGGGCAGTTTGGGTGAAGAGTCCCTTGTGTCCTTCTTAGCTCCCTGTTTGACTGTGGTATCTTTAGCCAGAGTGTAGGAGAGGGCCACCAGGAGTAAGAATGTTGATACTGAAATCTTCTCCATGGCAAATCTGATATGGAAAACAGGTAAAATATCAATAAAACAAAAGGAAATTAGCAGTCTTCAAAATCTTCAGACTGTATCACCAACAGGAATTAGATTTAGCTGAGATTGAAAACATGCAAAATCAGTGAAAAACTATCTTCTACAGAATTTTCCTAAGAATGCAGTGTGAATATCTATCATCTATCTATCTATCTATCTATCTATCTATCTATCTATCTATCTATCTATCTATCATCTATCTATCAATTATCTATCATCTAGCTTTATACAGATATGACTAAACTGATGTAGATCTTTATAGGAATCTACAAACATATATAGATATATTTTAAGAAACACAGATATAGATATATTTTAAGAAAATAAGTCGATGTATATATTCATAACTAAGGAAATTTACATTTAAATTTTATGCTTAAACATTTTCAGTGTTGGAAAGCACCTTATAGATTATCTCTTTTTTTTTTTATCACTTCCCTAATGCCTCAATTTATAGATGAAGAATCTGAAATTCAGACGGGTGAAGATTTATGGGATGGGTGTAGAACCAAGGCTCCGGGATCTTGCCCTTTTGCAGTGCTGGCTCCCATTTTCCCAACCTGAAACAATTACTCTAAACATACATAGTTCTTTAGCCTTCTGTTCAAATGGGGACATTGCCATTGAAAAATATGATCTGAATAAAATGATTCCTTATTTAATTTAAAACCTGCAAAGTTTGTCACTTAACTGCTGTGAAGAAAGTGTCTGTGAACAGGAATGTGAATGGCAAGACAAGGTCCATGAATGAGTGAGGGAGACAGCGAGCTAGCAACGTGAGCTCGCTAGCAAATCACTACAGTTATCCAGGGACCATAACATGCAAAGCTGGGAGACTTGGGATTTTAGTAGAGTCAAAGACTGAAATTGCTTAAAATTAAATATCTAACATTGGTGTAGGTTTTGAATTAAAGCAAATAAGCTCTGAACAGGAAGCAGGATGGACTATCAATGCTTCGTATTTTGAAGGGGAAAAGTTCCCCATGTTCTGATAGCTTGAGTGGGACCCTTTGCCAATTGTTAGCTGATTTTTAAAAAGTGTTGCTAAATCACCAAATCCAGATGATGCCTTGTATTAAACTGACTAATTATCCAAATCATAGTACATAGCCACAGAATGTCTTAACTCAAAAAACAAAAACAAAAAAAAGCAAGGATATACTTTCTTCATTTTTTACACTGATAAAGATGTGGAAATGCCAAGAACAATTTTTGTATCTTAATGTTCTGCAGAAACAACTCAAATGTACTACAAGTCAACAATTTCCAGCTTTCTTAGTACAAAGACTTAATGTTAAAAAAAACCCAGGAACTTTTATGGGAGAGTAATCGTACTTTTTCAATATTAGTTGATTCAGAAACATCATAGCAAATAGCTACTTTGGCTTTATGAACAAACGTCTGATTTTGTATTTTAGTTATAACAACAGCATCTATGTATATTAAAAAAATAATTGTGAATTGATGAGGAAGCATTTTACCCATTTAGTTCATTGACAGTCCTTGTCGTGCAAGTGGCACTTAACAGCCCTTGTGATAGCTCCACAGCTTACAGGTTAGAACTATTGATATGTTACATGTTATGGTAGGACGACTCAACAAAGACTAATATA